ATATATTTTTTTTAAAAAAGCATGTGAAGCTTCTTCATCTTGATCGAAACTAGAATTGTAACTGGAAATTTCTCTTGGATAAACCATTTTTACCTTATAATACCAAAAACTTGGACATATTTAAAGAGCCAGAACATTTTTGAGCCTTACACAAATCTTATAAGACTTGTTTTTAACTTTTTTCAGTTTTACTGGAGAAATTGTTTTTTTGGGTATTGTACCTGCTCATAGCTTTCCACTAAGCTATAATCTGCTTTTTCCAAAAGTTCGTATTTAACACAGTACAATACATCTTAGTTACATGACCCATACGTGCTTCTATTAATCATTCCTCTGTAGTTTGGTTTAAGAGAGCAAATTAAACCTTTTTATTACTGTACTCAGAAATAGTGAAACTGATATTCTGTTTAATGAACCTCTGCTTATGACAGATCTGACGTTGTTCTGGAAGTTGGAAAATGACTTTTCTATAATATAAATACAATATTAAGGACATAATAAAACTTTAAATATGTTTTCCCTTTGGATTTAGGTATGGGCTGCAATTCCTCCCTGGAAGCAAGGCACTGTGTCAGAGTTTGTTGTAGCTAGTGGAAATGAGGTAACCATGCAAAAATTTTGATATAAAAACAAAAATTTCATCAGACTTTGTTTCTTCCACAATTTATTAAATTGCTGTTTCACAGTTTTAATATTGTATAGATTTATTTTAAAATATTGTTTATCCTTATGTAATCAAGATATTTTAAAACATGGAAAATTCAACAGCTGAGATTTAGTAAAGCTTATTTATTTTGCAGCCTTGTGCAAGGGAGATTAGAGAGGCTATCAAACTAAAAAACCCAATAATAGTGGGGGATTTCAACTATCCCCATATTGACTAGGTACACATCACCTCAGGATGGGATGCAGAGATAAAATTTATTGATACCTTAAATGACTACATCTTGGAGCAGCTGGTTCTGGAACCCACAAGGTGAGAGGCTATTCTTGAATTAGTCCTAAGTGGAGCACAGGATCTGGTTCAAGAGGTAAATATAACTGGACCGCTTGGAAATAGTGACATAGTAAAATAAAATTTAACATCCCAGTGGTGGGAAAAACACCTCACTAGCCCAACATTGTGGCATTTAATTTCAGAAAGGGGAACTACACAAAAATGAGGAGGTCAGTTAAATAGAAATTAGAAGGTACAGTACCTAAAGTAAAATCTCTGCAAGCTGCATGAAAACTTTTCCAAGACACCATAATACAGGCCCAACTTACTTTGCTTTTTAATTTGGGGTATGCAATTAAGAGAACCAAAAAAGTGCCACCGTGGCTTAACAACCAAGTAAAAGAAGCACTGAGAGATAAAAAGACTCCTTTTAAAAAGTTGAAGTCAAATCCTAGGCTGTGTCTAGACTACATGCCTCTGTCGGCAGAGGCATGTAGATTAGACACATAGGCAAAGTCAAATGAAGCCGCGATTTAAATGATCGCGGCTTCATTTAAATTTACATGGCTGCCATGCTGAGCCAACAAACAGCTGATCAGCTGTTTGTCCGCTCAGCGCGCTAGTCTCGACGCTCCCCTGCTGACATAAAAGCCCTGGCATCCTTGTGGGGTGAGGGTTACCGGGGCTGCCGCCCAAAGGCT